TAAGGGTCCAGATAAAATTGGAATATTAAAACTTTTACAATAAGATTTTGGAATTAATTATGAAGTATAAACAGCTTCTCGTGGGAAATAGATTCTGTTTTGGTCTTTACAAGACAAAACAAAGATAAACAATTTCATGATTTCAAAAACTGGACACTAGAGGGACCAAAGATTTTAGGTACAGGCTGGTAAGATGATACAAAACATTTTGACAGTAAAAAGGGAGACTTTTGAAGAATGGAATCAGAAAATAGTACCCACAATATCAACAATATCAGCAATGATGTCTGCTTCTATGAGTAGACTATGTCCAAAAGATCATTGAAGAAATGCCAAATGTAGAATAAATTTTCTAGGTAGAGATGGTATCAAAAGTGGATTTACAACTGACAGGCCAAGAGAATGACTTAGAAAAGAATGTTTCACTGGATCTACAAAAGAAATTGGGTGAGGTTTTAAAATTTAAAAGGGAAATACAAATGACAAACCAAGAGAGTGACCTGGATAATTTTTCCTATTGTATTTACAAGAGAAGCTTGCTAAAGCCTTGAAGAACTCTATGTGATGGGACAAAGAAGAAATGAAGAGAAATCAAATCCTATGACAATATTTGAATGAACTAAAGATTAAGACTGTTAGAAGTAAAAGGAAGGAATATAAAGTTGGTTTATTTGATCAAGGTTAAAACACGATATGTTGTTATTTTTGGCTACCCTTAATGGACTTTCTGCTGACACCAGGACTGAAAAGATGATATTTTATGGATTTGTTTATAGATAAGAGATGGGATATGGGATGAAGAGGTAAATGTTCGTAACCTTAGAGGAAGTAGAGTCACTAAATGTATTTATACTTCTTATGATGAAGGCTAGAAGTCACTTCTTTATATATTTCTTTTCTCTTTCTTTATTATATTCTTACTTTTCTCTTTCTTCTCTTTTTCTTTTTCCTTGCACTTTTTACTCCTTCTCTCTATTCTCCTTTCTTTCTTGAAGTGTAGCTTGTATTAGATTTTACTATTATAATCAAAATTCTTAATAAAATTATAGATATAGATAGATATATGAAAATCCCACCAAACTCATGCACTCAGGGGATGTGGTCTGGATGGGAAGAAATAAGCTGCAAGTGAGTTCCTGCACACACACAAAAAAATGCTGTTTGTTCAGAAATTTTACCTGCACCGTTGATAAATCTGGTTTCTTATGCCCTCATCACCTCTCTAACTGACAAATGAAGTGCCCGCTACCTGGTATTGTATTTGAGGACCACCTGGAAACTGCAGATGCTGTTACCAGTACCAAATAAAACCAGTTTTACAGATGCTATACTGGCTCCTAATAGACTACCAAGTATAATTCAAAATATCAGTTTTGACCCATATAGACTTTTATAGCTTCACACCTAGGTATCTGCAGGACCACCTACTTCATTCAGCCCAAATGGGGAAGTAGAGAGTGCTCCCCATCTGAAAACAGAGGTGGGTGGGTTTAAGTATGTTGTTTTTCTGGATACGTCTTATGTGGAATATCTGACCTATGGAGATCTGAATAGTGCCCTCCCTTAGTTTTAAAGGAGCTGTTTTCTACAGGGCTTTTATTTGTTGGGAAATGATCAAAGTTGCTTACTGAAGGCTGCCTCTTTCTTTTACTATTAAGGGCATTTAAAGGTTTTACAGATGCTATACTTAGCTTCTCTAAACTGCTAGGATACAAAAATGCTGCAAATAAATAAATAACAAGCAACATAGGGAAAATGTACCCACTTACCTTGAAACTTTAGAACAATGCTTGAACCACAGGCTCTGCATGTAGCTTTATATTGGGGGGGAGGGGGGTTCCCCTTAAATAAGATACTGCAGAACTGAGCTAATACAAGCTCTGTTCAGCAGGCATTGTCCTAACTCCCTCTCTTGCATTCACTGAAATGCATCTATCTTGCAGCATATCTTTAAAGAACTACTGTGACCCTTGACTGAAAAAAATAATAATCAAAGTCTATTGTAGCAATGTAATCAAAATGGAGCACTAAAAATGGAAGATGTCAATGTAACATTTCTAACTCGATTTGAGCTGGAAGCCCTCTTTTGCATATCAACAAATCAGCAGAAATTTGTCATTTCAGAAACTGCAGCTGTTTTCATTTACAGAAGCACAGAAACTGGTTTCAAGCCAATTGGGGGGAAAACATTTTTGTCGTCTGTTGGCTTTAAAATGTCTAAACTAGTTCTGTTCAAACTTTTACAAAGGTACAAAAGGGATAATAATGCTGTTTTTTTCTAGACTAGCAATCTGAATGCCAGGTTTTGGCCTGGAGTTACACTTTATGGCTATAAAATAAGCTATTACAGAAATATAGACATAACTGTATCTGTATGATTATTGTACAACAATTCTATAAACAATTTGAAATGCACTGTTCAGAATCCTAGCTCATGGAAAACGTGTTTGCAATGGAATGCAAACATACACTTCAACGTATAAATACCAAAAAAATTAGCCCAAATCTATGGGATGCTGTTACCATAATGTTTTTGATTAGAAACTATGGAGCGCTGCTTTCAAGAAGATTCTTACCTACTGGCCATGTTCCACTCAAGTGCTGGATTCTGAGAATTCCTTTCATTCTCTGGCACTGCCCTGCTTTTACCATTTTCCTTCTCTGGCTTTAACTGATCCCACTGAGCAGTACCAATGTTGATGGACTGGAGGTCTATTTGGTACTGTCTGTCTTCAACCTCTGAACCAGGATCTCGAAGAACTCCCAAATTCAGTGCTCTCCTATGATGGCAGAAAGAAATTAAAGAATTTCATTATTTTCATCCAATTTCAGGGCTAACTCAACAGAGTTTTAAGACAGCAATAACATTAAATTAAAGTTGCTATGAGATTGGAGCCATCCTTTCTGTTGGGAGACTAATGTTCTAATACTTTTTCACACAGCACCTGTATTTTCTGCGGCCATTCTATTTTCATTCTAATTCATTTCACTTCTTTTCTTTTTTTCTTCCATATCCAGTTTTCCCCAAGATTATTCTTGAGACTACCAAATAATGGTCTATCCCATGTCATAACTTCTCACTGTCTCATTTCCTTCATTAATTCTCTTAATATTTCATTATAAATAATAAAATCAATCATGGTTTTAGATTATATTCATTCCTTTGTTATGTACAGATATGAAAAATACATGCTTAAAATATGCATTCAGAAGAAACAGATCTTCTTCTAAGCAGATAACTGTCATTCTCCATCATTCTTAGATCTCCAAATGGAGTGGAGTGGATGAATACAGACAAAGAAATGAAGATCAGATCTATTTTATCCATCCCCTTTCTCCAACTTTCACAGACATGTAACATATCTATTTTCTTTCATTTTATTTGCTAATTCACACTTTTAACCATTTATGCTTCTTATATTCCAAGTCACAATCTTCCCAATGCTGTAGTCATCATCAGACAGACCCATAACTATTGATCTCTGCATCAGGCTTAGGTCAACTGAGGGTTTCACTTAACACCTACTTTGTAAACTAGAGGAAGAGTAGACTAGGTTATCATTCTTAGACATACCTTCTGCCACGTGCAGTATTTTGGCCCATATGCCACAAGTGCAACCAAAACCAGTTGTGCCCCAAGCATGCTCACACTATTCTATGCAAGCAAGGATTTCTAATCTAGAAAGTACCTTGCAAGTCATTATACTGTAGCCTGCATCCCACCCACTAGAAGTTATATGGAGTTTACTGACACAAAGGATATGAAAAATGGGATAAAAAAACAATAATACAGAAATATGTTAAGCTTAAAGCTTGCATGTGGCGTTTGGTTAAACACTCTATCCCTGACACAAACCACTAGCTCTATTTCTAATATGTAACACTATGTAGCTCAAGAATCAGCAGTAAAGTTATGGTAGTCTACAATAATAGCCTGAAATCTCTTCTTTCTTTGAAATATTTTATTACAGAAAAAAAAATCAGGGAAGAACATTTATAGACCAATACTATATAGCATAAAGAAGAAAGACCAAATATAAGGAAGAAAAAAGAAACATCATATTAAACATAAAATTAATATATTTATGAAACATTCAGCTGGATTTTAAATCAAAGATTTATTTGAAAATGTCTGAAATCTCATGAGGTGTCAGCATCAATGCCACAAAGCTTGTAACATTTCAGCTAGTGACACAGAGCTTTCAGGTACAGACTGCTGATCCATGAAACACTGCTTTTCATTAAATAAACATATCAAAGCAGTTCCTATTAAAAATACACTTAATAAACATAGCAAAATACCAAAATGTAGAAATAGTAAAAATGATATGGCTATTAAATCATTCAAAGGAGCTTATTAAAACCATGTTTTTTATTTATGGTGAGGACACGGCCCAGAGAGCCCCACTGTGGGAGTGGAGATCTTCCAAAATGGTAAGTATACAATGAAGAATGACTGCTTCCCTATTGCAACTTAAATGGACATCGATCAGCTAGAACATAACAGCCAGGTAGGGTTATACAGAAACAGGCAGTTCCTCAGATAACTTAATCCTGAGCTGTATAAGCCCTTATAAACCAGTATTTCCATCTTAACAATGGCTTATACATAGACTGGAGCTCACAAAAAATGTGTTACTCTTGTCCCAAGTGTTGTTAAAACATCTATATGAAACTAGTAGAAGCTTTTGAGCAAGGTGATAACAGTAAGGTGATGATGCCTAGCTGAAATGCAATCAAGGTATAAGTGCTGTTGGCTAATAAGATCTGAGGATTGATCCAGCTTGTACTGGTTGAATTATGTTTTACTGAAATTATATCATATGTCATATATCATATACTGTATATTATATTGGCTTTGAAAAAAGAACAATTTACAGTGTGGGAGTGCTCCTTCATCCTCACCCATTTCAAAGGAATGACAGTGGCACAGAGCATGTTTGCACAACTATTTCTAGTATGCTGCTGGTAAATTTTTTTGATTCTATAATATTTGGTATTTGCTATAGATGCCTTGCTGATATCACAATTGAACTACTACAATGCACTCTTCATTTTGCCTATCCATGATAAGTATCCAGAAACTTCAGTAGGTGTAATATATGGCAGCTAAGCTGTTAAATGCTATTGAATGCCAGGACTTTATCATGTACTTGTTGAAAGATCTGCACTGTTTGCCAAGTGATTTCCAGACACAATTCAAGGCATTGGTCTAACTGATGAAAGTTTACGGCCAATGTATCTGCAGAATAGTTCTTGACATGAACTCTTCTGGGCATTAAGATTTTCTGAAGTTGCCTTTATTTTTAAAAATCTGTTTGTGATAATGCAGAATATAGTCTCCTTCTGTATCATTCACACTTCCTCTGAGGAACTGCTTTTTGGTCCCCACTCACCCTGTCTTTAGAAAAAGTTGTGAAAACTCATTCACCCAAGCCTACTGAACTATTTTATGATTATTTTAATATTAAGTATTTTCTTTAAAAAAATGAGTCTGTTTTTATTTTTATTTTTCTTTTGTGGTTAACCTTCACCATCTTGGTTAGATGGAAATGTAGAATATAAATCTAATAATAATAACAACCGATGAAGTAGTTGTGATATGTTACAGATAATGTCAAGTACCTAATCTGTATACTTAGCATCAATAACAAAAATTTATCAAGATTGATAAGAGAGGACGGCACAGTGGTCAAAAAGTGGCAACCAAGCTGGAGTAATTCCCTGTAGAACTCTCACAGTTTAAATCAAACATTCTTAGTTTGGACAGAACATAAATCCTATGCAGATTCAGAGGTGATAGAAAATAAACATGCTCTAAATTTGGTTTCAGCTATGGGTTACACCAGATTTGTCACAGGTCTTTCTTCTTACAGCCATTACTTCAGTTGCCACATACATCTTAATTCCAAAGAAAATCACAAACCAGCTAATGTGTCAAGTGAACTTAGCTAATTTCAAGGATATCATTCAGACTTCAACAGAATTATCAACCATGTCCCAGGGATCATTCAGTTTTGAAGCTATCCAGTTCCATCAGACTTTAGGGGAATACATATTTTGGTGAATGACCAAAGCTCAGTGATGGAATATATTACGGCTATAATATTTATTGTTATAAAGAAGATTCCAGTTTCTATCTCTTGGTATCTCCAACTAGTAGTGGGAAAAACTGACACCATGGAGAGCTGTAGCCAATCATAGATTGCTTCCTGTTATGGAAATTGGTCCCTTACCTACTCAAAAAACTATGCTTATATTATTAGGGACCAGGTATAGAAGTTTCCTTATTCATTATCTTCCTTATAACAATCCTTTGGTGACAATCTTGGCACTTCATTAAACTTTAATGTCATAACCCAAAGCAATCAGCTAATCTTCAGGGTTCGGTTCTTTCTCTGCTCCTTTTCAACATCTATATGAAACCGCTGGACGAGATCATCCGTCATCATGGGATTAGGTATCATCAGTATGCTGATGATACTCAATTATATATCTCCATCCCTGGTGAAGTAAGTGATGCTGTGACCACCCTCTCGTAGTGCCTGGAGGCTGTGAGGGTCTGGATGGGGAACAACAGGCTCCAGCTGAACCCTGGTAAGACGGAGTGGCTGTGGGTTAGTGGCTCCTCTGTATCCGGGACATTGTCATGGTTGGTGCTGGATGGGGTAGCACTGCCCCAGACAGGCCCAGTGCGTAATTTGGGGGGTCCTCCTGGACTCACGGCTCCTGCTCAAAGAGCAGGTGGCAGCCACAGCCAGGAGGGCTTTTGCACAGCTTCGGGTTATGCACCAGTTACGCCCC